TCTGTGGATACATACGTGTGTGTGTGTGTGTGTGTGTGTGTGTGTGTGTGTGTGTGTGTGTGTGTGTGTGTGTGTGTGTATGGTCTGATACTGGGACTTGAAATCGGGGCTTGGGCACTGTCCCTGGGCTTTTTTTGCCCAAGGTTAGCACTCTACCACTAAACCACACTCCACTTCCAACTTTTTTTTTTTGAGTAGTTAATTGGAGAAGAGGCTCACAGACTTTCCTGCCCTGAGGGGCTTCAAACGTTGATACTCAGATCTCCCACACAGCTACGATTACAGGCATGAGCCACCAATACCCAGGTCATTCATTCATACTTCTTTTAAAAGGAGGGAAATGGAAGACCCATCTGTCAGGTTGGGACACCACCACCAGGAGGGGCCAAAGAGCAGGTGTAGGCCTGGTCATGGCCCATACACAGCAGGAGAGACTATCTGAATTAGCTGGGACAGGGAACCAACAGGGAGAGGCTGCTAGTAGTCAGAAGAAGCCCCTGGAATGCCAGGTCAGAGAGGAACCCACAGGACAGGAAGGGGACTAGGGCAGAGAGCCTGGTGACCCTCTCAGATCAGATATAAGTAGGCAGCTTGGTGTCTGAATCATTGGGGTCCAGCAGGCTGCCACTAGACCGTTGGGTCCTGTTGGGTCCTGTCTGGCCTCCACACTCTGGGCATGAAGCAGGGAGGAGCCACTGGGCAAGCAGCACAGGGCCATGGCCTAGGGGAGGCATGAGAGTCTAGGATGCACCCTGCTTCCCCTGCCAGGCCAGTACATCCCCACACTGAGGTAGACCTCTCGGCCCAGGATGCTGCTCCTGAGGCCACTCCCACATTTCCCATGTTTCCCTTATTCACCTTTTAATGCAAAGGGCACCAAGCCAGGGGTGGTGGCACGCCCCTCCCCAGTTCTTTGCTCCCCACTCATCTTCTCCAAGAAGCCTGGGAGTAAAAGCAAGCTCCAGCTCCAGCTTGAGGATCACAGAAATAAGAGGTCTGAGAGCCTAGTAGATTCCGGCTAACATTCAAGAGCCCTATAGTCAGGGAAAACTGGCATCACGGAGCCAATAAGGGCATCCTGGGAAGCTCTGTCCTGTGTATTTACCCCCAGTGAACAGCAGCCACACCACAACTGTAAAATAATCACAGGTGCCATTTGCTTGACAAACACTATCTTCACTACCACCCTACACGGAAGGGGTGTTTTCCTCCCACTTCCCAGAAGAGGAGACTGAAGGGTCAGAGGGGGGCAAGTCACTTGCCCAGGTGAGGAAGTGGTGTTTCCAGGATTAGAAACTAGGCCCATCCCACCAGAGCTGAGACTCCACCCCCACTTCCTGCCTAACCGAGCAGTTCCTCCTGGAGGGTATAGTCCAGTACCTGACACTTGGCCACTGTAGAAAAAGGCTGTCTGCCTCCACCTAGCTAAAGGGGTCCCTATTGCCATTCTGAAAGTGAGGGAAACGGAGACTTTCCTGGAAGCCAGACTGTACCAGAGAAGCACACAGAGAATGCACCAGATGCAACTTATCCAATGTCACATTGCAAAAGGGGCCCAGATGGGATTTGACCCCAGGCAGAGAAGCTCCAGATCTTCACATCACTGGCTTCCGGGAGCTCAGGCAAAGGCCACTGAGGCCAACCTCCCTAGCCTTGCACTGCCTCTGCTCCTGACCCTCACTGGCCCCAGCTGTACCTCTGAGCCTGAAGGAGTCCCCTGGGCCAAAAGCAGTAAACAGCCACTGCCACCTGCTCCAGCCTGCGGTGAGCAAGAGGAAACAGAGCCCTTTGCCTAACAGAGGAAGTTCCCGGGCAAGACAGAAGGGTTTGTCCAGGGGTCCCAGCCCAGCCAAGGTCCAGGATAAGGCTGCTTGCCATGACCAGCTCAGGACCAACTGCTTCTTGCAGGGCCTTGGCTGCAGCCCCTACACACCCACCTGCCCACCACCAGGCATTACCGCTTTAAGCTGCAGGCAGCACCAGGCATGCCAGCGGTGAGTCAGCATCAGGCCTGCTGACTCACCCACCGGAAGCCTCACTGCCCGGCCCTGTGGCCCTCTCCCTCTCCCCACACAGGCCGGCTGGGAACTTTGCTCCCTTCGGGCTCTGAGCCACAGGCTGGCTGATAGAGAGTTTCCTGTGCGTCATACCAGGGTAGGGGGAAGTCCCTGAGGTGCCACCTTCCAGTCTTTCCAACAGCCAGGATGGGGAGGGGGGTGGGGGGGGGGTGCTGTAAGAACAACAGGCAGGGCCAGTCCAGGATAGTGCTTCTGAAGCCAGGGCCACCAGCCTGAATCCAAGCCCTATGACAATAATCATGAAAATCCCAAGAACGGCCCTTCTAGGCAGAGACCATGCATACTGCACAACACACATGGTGCCCCCAAGAGCAAATGTGGCTTACTGAACTGTGCTCACCCCACTAGTCCCTGACCCCAGCCAATATGTGAGCAAGGAGGTGGGAAAAACCGGGCTGTGGAGCCCAAGACTCTCATGCACTGGAGAAGAATTCCCCAGACCAGTGCACAGAGCACGGGCAAGTGTCCACTGCCAGGAAGGAAGCACAAAGGTAAGGCCAAGTGCCAGCCACTCCCTTGCTTTGTTCAAAGTCTTTCAAGAAGTTAAAGCAAGAGCTTTGTGCGAGGGATCTTCGTGCCCAGGATAAGGAGGGCATCAGGAGGGCAACGTAAGAACCCGCTCTGCTCTGTGCAGTCAGTGCAGCCACTCCCCTGGGAAGCCTCAGTCTGCATCTGCTGAATGGGCCAGGCTACAGGAAGCACACAACATGCCATCTGTCAGGACTGTGCACATGGGTGGCACCTTGGCCTAGGCCATCCTTCAGGCTCCATATGGCCCCCTGGACATGGAGGTGATAGACAAGGAGGTGTGGGGTACCCCACAGCTCAGCTCCAGAACCTAGTATAGGAGTGGGACATAGGAGAGCCTGGGGAACCACTAAGCAGCCTCTGGCAAAGCACCTAGTGCCTGTGAGACTCAGTTTCCTCATCTGTAAGTAGGGCAATAAGGATAAAGAAGACAAGAATAACACAGGGAAAAGAGTTTAAGAAGGGTCATCTCTTGAGATTTTTGGTAAAGGACATGGTGGCTCCTCTACCACCTCCTTATCCAAACCTAAACCAAACAATAGGGTCCCTAGGCCATTATCCAATCCATCCACTATCATGCTACATGGATCTATAAGCTGGAATTTATGTTGGCCTGCAGACTGAGGCCCAGATAGGGTAGTGGCTAGCCTCAAGTCACATAGCAGGATACTCCCACAGGGCTCTGCTACCATACCACTCTCTCTCTCTCTCTCTCTCTCTCTCTCTCTCTCTCCACACTTACAACTTTTATTTTGATGAGGCATCTCCTGTCTGGAAATGCTGAAATGCCTCCAAAAACAAACACTGCTTCCAAACTGTTCCTGGGTGGATGAATGTCTAATTTCCCAGTCCCTGAGGTTTGCAGCTCCACGAGGTCTCCCAGCCACCTCCCCCAGTGAGTGCCTCCTGAGTTACTCACAGCCAGCGGTTGGGCAATGGTCAGGGATCCGGCCTCCCACTTATGTAAGACGTAATTATCCTGCCCACCCAGCTCCAGCCCACAGCTACCACAGCCACTGGCAGCAGGGGTGAGGAAGGACCCACACCCTCTGAGGACCCCTCACTGGTGAGCCCCTCCAGGAAAGGAGGAGCAGGTCCCACCCCTGCTGAGGGGCCTCCACACACCCACTTCTCCTTCCTCCTGCTCACTCTGCAAGTACAATCCAGAGGCAGAGCTCTGGTCCTATATGGCTGCAACCTTTCCAATAGGAAAAATGGCCATCATAAAAATGGGTGCAGCAACTGCCCTCCCTGAGAACCTACTATGTGCCAGGTGTCATGCTGAACTTTCAACCACCTCATCCACACTTGCTTCAAAACATTGTTTCCTGTCATATTTGGGATATCCATTTGACAGGTAAGGTAACTGAGGCCCAAAGAACCCAAGGGGTTTGCCATATATAGGGCAAGAAGCAGGCAATGCAGGGCTGCTAGTCTCATTTGGAGCTCATTCTCACACAGCTCAGCCTACTGAGACTCCCACACACCAAAAACATCCTTTCCTCTTCCTGAAAAAATCCCCCTTTTACCCTCCAAGTCTCATCCTCCCTCCCTCACCCTCATGACAAATCTGGCTGTTGCTACCGCCACCACAGCCACCTCGCAAAAATTTCCAGGAAGGCCAGTTACTTGGAGGAGACAAGATCAAGCCCCTTACATGGCTGGCAGCCAACCCAGGTCCCAAGGAGCGGGAACAAGGTCTAGAAACAACCAGCCTTGGAGACACTAATTAGCATGGGAAAGGGTCGCCCCCAAGTGCAAAGATTGCAACTCAGCCAAAGAGAAATCTGCAAAGGGACAGTGTGCTGCTCAGGAGTGGGAGACCAAGATGTGTTTTGGAAAGACAAGGCTGTAAGAGGAGGCTCACAAGAATGGAGAGATTGGGGAGGGAGGTGGGGGGATCCAAGGAGTTCTTATGTGGAGTATAGTCAGAGACCCAGCACTGGGACATAATAAGGTCTCCAGTAATACTAGCACCGTGGGGGCCCGGATGAAGAGTAAGAGTATAGTTCCAACCTGGATAAAGATAGAGCCCAGAGGCCAGGGACTAAAAATGAGAGACTTGGTGCAGCCTAAAGACTCGGGGGTGAGGGGGATCGGAGCAAGTCCCACAAGGGTCTAGCTTTGTTTCGGTCCAGGCTGCAGCCCCGAGGCCTAACTGAGATCAGGGTGAGGCCCCTGGCCTGGAACGAGGTGAGCAGAACGAAGTCCTAGCCTGGGTCCAGTCCGGGAGATCTCGGCCTGGGTGCAACCCAAAGCCTAAGAGAGGGAGTTTCTGGGCTGGGGTGCTATTGCACGGAACCTTATAGGGTAGGATCACAAAGAAGTCGGGGTTCACAGCCCGAGCTCGGGCTGGGCGAGAGGGTAAGGCCGCGGTCCGGCGGGCGAGCTTACCTTTGGACTGGGGCATGCTGGCGGGCTGGTTCGGGGCGGGCGACTCCATGCTGCAAACGGGTTCTAGGAAGCGGCGGGGACTAATCTAGAGGACGGCGGGCTATACCCGGGCCGAGCGCGCTCATGGCTACGGGCGGGCGGCCCGGACGCAGTAGAGGAGCAGAGGCCGGTGAGAGCTTGCAAGTACGCGTTCACAACGGGCGGTGCCACAGCCAGACTGGGCAGCGCCAAGGGCCCGGGACAGACGGCGCCGACAAGGCCCCTCCCCCGCGCGCCGATTGGCCTACGTGTCTCCAGGGCCCATCCCTTGCCTATCAGGAAGTGGTCACGCCCACTACCGTCTGTCTAACCTACTAGCCACTCAGGAAGCCCTAGCCCATCCAGACTCCGCCCCTCCGCGAAGACCCGCCTTCCACCTGCTGCCTGTCAAGGCAATAGCCCCTCCCACTCCTTCCCCTCTAGTCCCAGAGACCCGCTGCATCCGTCCCCGCCAGTCCCGTACAGGCCCCGCCCCCGGACGCCCCCACCCCTCCGCCCGGGTGGCGCGCTGCGTGGGCGCGTCCCGTGTACGTAATCTGGAAAAACCCGGAGATCCCGAGGGTAACCCGGCTAGGCGGATGCTGCGGCGGCTTTAAAAGTACACCCTGGGTGATACTCGAGTCCTGATCCTACGCGGCAACGTTGTATCAGTGGGAGGAGGGGGACAAGGGGGGCGGGAGGGGGAAGGGAGGAAGAGGGATGACCTTGGGCAAGTCCCCGGCACCCTGAGTTTGCATTTCCGCCTCTGGGAGAGCAGCGGTGATCGCCTCTCGGCCTGCGGCGGCGAGGCTGCGGAGGAACCCGGGCTGCGCGTTGGCGCGCGCGCTCCGGACGTGTTTGTTGACTGACTGTTGCTATGGGTTGATCGCCGTGCGGGGCCTGCACGCGTTTGTGTCCTGCATCAGCAAGCATCCACGAGCGCCCGCGCGTGCCGGAGTCGGGATGCGGGGAGGAACCTGGTGGTGCCTAGTGACAAGTCAGCGCAAGTAGCTTTCTTGGTTTTTGCCCCTGGTGCCTCTGTGTGCGGACTTTTAGGGTCTTTACTCCCTTTGCCCCTGATGGGGGTCTCTTTCGTCTTCTTTTTGTCGGTCGTAGCGCTTGAACTCAGGACCAGAGCGCTGCCCCTGAGCTCTACCATTTGGAGCCACAGCTCCACTTCCAGTTTTGTTTGTTTGTTTGTTTGTTGATGGCTAACTCGAGCTAAGAGTCTCACGGACTTTCCTGACCAGACTGGCTTGGAACCAAGATCTCAGCCTCCAAGGGTAACTAGGATTACGGACATGAGCCACCGGCGCCCAGCTAGATCGGTTCTTCTGTCCCTTTGCTTTTCTGGGTGATACCATAGCTAGGCCATCCTCCCTCTGCCCCTCATCTGGAGCCTCGAGAATTGCAGGAGCCACTGGTGGATCACACGCTGGGATCAGGTGACACTGGATGGAAAGCCAAGGTTAGTTAGTAAAGGGAGGAAGTACTGAGCCAGGTCAAGGGGTCAGCCCCTGGCAGGCATGAGTGTGTGCCCTGTCAGAGACCTCACATGAAGGAAGCAGGTTCCACCACCTGCTAGGAAGGCTTAGAGCAGGATACTGACCTCTCTGCCTGGTTGTGTGTAAAATGGGGACCCCGCAGGGCCCTCCCACACAGTGATGGGGAGGGCCTGATGAAGTAAGAGGGAAAGGCCTTGTAATTATCATTACTCTCTTCCTGTGTCTCTTGCTCACCCTTTCCAGGAGGTGGGATGGAAAATCCTCGGTTTTGGATATAGCCAAGTGTGGGTTTGAATGCCAACTCTACCACTTACTAGCTGGATGGTCTGGGACAAGTCACCAAATCTTTCAGACTCTGTTTACAGGTCTCAAAGCATTTCACAAGTTCAGGTTTGGAAGTGTCTGGCCTGGCATTCACCAGGTGCCCAGGAAATGAGTTCAGAAACATACTGCGGATGACCTCCGACTGGAAGCCACCTCAGCTCTGCCACACACATCTCCCACCCCCTGGAGCTGTCTCAGATCACTTTGGGACCTGCACTTACCCAGCTGTAAAATAGGCACCCAGCATTAGCCACCTCCCTGCCAGAAGTGCAAGCCCGTCTGGCAGGTTTTCTGGGTTCAGGCCACTGCCAACAGCTGGATTTCTGCTCCTCCCACTCTTCCCTCCTTCTAGCCACTCAGTTCCATCCTATGTTGCAGGGTCTTAGAGCTGCCCCTTGAACTTGCCAGTACTGGCCCTTTCTGTTCTTCTTGGCCATTCATCCACACCCCCACCATGTTCCTGGATTGGTCCCCTTTTACCTCTCAGACCCTCTTAAATGAACACATCAGGAAGCCCTCACTGTCTTGGTCTCCAAATCAGCCTTAATTCTCTGCCCCAGCATCCACGCTGCCCATCTCCTGCTTGCTTACTGTTTCTACCACAGCCCCCTGCAAACGCTGCCCCCACTTCTGAGTGGGAATCCTGCCCATCTCATTCCTGGCTGCATTCCTAAGGCCTGGCCCAGAGCAGGGCACACAGTAGGTACCTAATAACTATTTAAGGAATGAACGGAGGAAGGAGGAAGGCATGCCGCAGACACGGGTAAAGTGACTCCAGTCCCGTGCCAGCCTCTTAGGTCCTGGGTGACTCAGATGAGGCCTCAAACACAAGGACTTTGTGGCTTAGTCAGGGAACCTGACAAACAGCCCAAGAATTAAAAAAATAAAACCCTCCATGTGGGGTTCTATTAATAGATGCATGAGCCAGGAGTCCCAGGAAGGGGACTGACTCTACCTGGGTGGGGTCAGGGAAGGCTTTGCAGATGAGGTGACCTTGACCCTGAGCCTTTAGGGACCCATAGGAACTTTCAGGCCAGACGGCCTCCCTGGAAAGACCAGCCCTGGCTGGCGGGGAACGCTGCCCAGGTCAGGCTGGGCTATCACCTGTAGACCCAGAGCTGCTGGGCTGAGGAGCCCATGCTGCCTGTGACAGTGAAGCCTGCTGACCTCCGTGTGTCTTCTGGTGGCACAGCCAGGTTCTGAACCCCATGACCACTCAGAAACTGGAAGGGAGATTGGATATGGATCCGCAGAAAGCTGCCTCTTGCCCTGTTGTCTCTTCAGAGAACACCCCTTTTCTACAAAGGCAGGGGAAACTGAAGCTCAGGATGGGAAGGCGGGGGAGGGGGGGCAAAGTTAGGATGTCTGTTGACACCTGAGTGACAATGAGCTGGAAAGAGATGGGGTGATGGGAGCAACCCATTCATTGAACAAATATTTATTGAGCATCTCCCTGTGCCTAGCTCTGAGGGCTCAGTATTGAGCAAGACAGAAGCCACTCCCTGCTCTCAAAGAAGAGGTGGGCAAAACAAACCAGTAAAAGGCCTAAAATAGATGCTAGGGTGTCTGAGGGTGACACTTGCTGTGGGGGGGGAAAGTAAGGGAGGGGCAAGGCATGTATCTGGAGGTGAGGCTGTCATTTTAAAGATGGAGGTCACGGGGCTGGGAAGGTGGCTCAGTGGTAGAGTGCTTGCCTTGCATGCATGAGGCCCTGGGTTCAATTCCTTAGCAGAAAAAGCTGGAAGTGGTGCTGTGGCTCAAGTGGTAGAGCACTAGCCTTGAGCTGAAGAGCTGAGGGACAGCACCTAGGCCCAGAGTTCAGGCCCCATGACCGGACCCAAAAAACAAAAAAATAAAATAAATAAAGATGGAGGTCAGGAAGAGGTCAGGGAGGGAAGGGAAGAGCATTCCTGGCAGAGGGAACTACACATGCCAAAACCTTGAGGCTGTGGTTTGTAGGAGAAAGATAAGGTGCTCGGTGTGATTATGGAAGATGAGAGATAAAAACCCCTATTTTAACCTAAATGTGTCCTTGACACGTGTTCATACCCTTGTATGGGTCACACATCCCAAGTACCCTTGTGCACACTAATGTCAGTGGGGCTTATGAGTGTGGGGACATTCACAGGCAACCTATACACACAGCTGTGCACAGCTGTGCTGCCATCCTGCAGCTACCTCCACAGCTTGCTGGCTCACAGCGCCCTCTGGTGACCAGACCCAGTATGGCGATTCTCTGGGGTGCTCTCTGTAAGGCCTGCCGCACTGTGCTATGAATGCCACCCAGCCTCCACTGCTCTGTGTAGTCCTGGCCCCAGGCCTTCCACAGCCCAGCTAAGGAGAGTACCTTCCAAAACAGAGATGGCCACACCCCACACCGGGCCATGGCTTCCAAAGTGGTTCTGCTTGTGTCTTCAGACATCCCCCAGTCAGCCACTCCCAAGCTAAGCTTTTCTCCTTGAGCTTTTGTTGTGACACTGGGATTTGGATTCCTGCTTCCAAACAGGTGCTCTACCCCTTGAATCACACCACCAGTCTTTTTTTTTCCTTTAGATATTTATCAGATAAGGTTTCAGGGTTTTGCCTAACTAGCTTCAGACTGAGACACTCCTACCTCTGACCTCCCACACAACGGGGACCATAGGCACACACCACCATGCCTAGCTTTATTGGTAAGAGTTGTGGGCCTCACTGGCTTCTTGCCTAGGCTAGCCTAGAACCTCAGTCCTGGCATGAGCCACAGCACCAGGCCTCCTTGAGCCTCTATTAAAGAGCACCAGGAATGCCCTTCCCTGCCTCTAACAGACACATTCCCACCTTCCTCCCTACCCTGCCCTGCACACCAGGCCAGGCCTCTCTGACCATAACTGTTCTGTTGGTGGCCAGGAGCCCATCAGGCTGGCACTGCTCCAAGGCAGGTGCTGGCTAGTTCCTCCCTTCCAGAGGGAGCCCCTTGCTCTGCATCAGGTTCCAGAATTCACCACAGGCCAAAGAAACTGCAAGAGAGATTCCACTGCTGCTTTCTTTTTTCTTTCCTTTTTTCTTTCTCTTTCGTCTCTTCTTTCTTTTTTGTAGTACTAGGGTTTGAACTCAGAGCATTGTGCTTGTTAGGCAGGACTGTACCACTGAGCTATAACTGGAGCCCATTTTGCCCCAGATTTGATTTTTGTGTGTTTGTTTTTTTGGTGTTTGTTTGGTTTGGTTTTGTTGTTGTTTGTTTGTTTTCCTAGTCCTAGGGCCTGGGCATTATCCATGAGCTTCTTTTTGCTCGAGGCTAGAACTCTACCATTAGAGCCACAGCACCACTTCTGCCTTTTTTTTTTTTTTTTTGTAATTTACTGAAGATAAATCTCACAGACTTTCTTGTCCCAGCTGGCTTCA